CCCCAAAACCCCAAAACCCCAAAACCCCAAAACCCCTATCAAGACAGGTTTTATTGAAATTTACACATCAATAGGTTTATCATAAACTCTGACTCTTCTCCTCACTCAAACTTTGGCTGACCTTGGTGGGATGGATTTGGAAGTTCTAGAAATAAGAATACTCACAGTACCTTGTAGGTGTTTTAGGGATTGTAGAAACTCTGTCTATTCTTCCAAGCAACTTCTTCATTTTCACTCATGATGAATTTATCTCCGCTTCAGAGAGATCAACAACTCTATCATTTTCTCTCAACTCTAAGACAATATAAGAACCAATATTATCCATAACAACTCATCATTAACTCCCAAAACTCAAAATTCCATCATAATTTCACTCAAAACTCCTCTTAATCCATCTAGCTCCCGCTCAAAACTACCTACTTCTACTAAAATTCTTAAAATTTCTCAAATACCAAAATCTCACTATTACCTTTCTCTGAAGCCTGGTTTCCCTTTTCTCGTGATTTCTTAAGCTGAGTTGTGAGGAAAGCCTTGGCAGGCTTTCCTCACAACCTTGCTAATAAAGCATTAGAGCTCGGAATGTAGGCTCTAGAGAAGCTATTTGTACTCTTTGATTCTAGATTGGAATTTTGAGAGCACTGGTTTTTGGATTTTTGGATTTTTTGAAGTTTGAATTGAGTAGAGTAAGGATCGGAGTGCTCTTTGTGGGTTGAAGAGGAATTAGTTGGGTTGGAATGGGTGAAGATGGATAAGCCTGGTAAGAGGTGGTTTCTGGAAGGGGTTGAGAGGTCGGTGATGTTGATTTTAGGCCCGCTTTGCTTCTTTTGAGGAGTGTGTTTTCTTTGCTTTGGTCTGAGTTTTGTTTTGGTTAATGCCATTCCAAGCCTTTTTACAGATAATTTAGCTAAACTTTATAAGAATAAAGCTTACCTCTCTGAGAAACTCTACTTATCTTTCTTCCATCTTGATGTTGAAGGCCTCCTGAGATTCTTCTGTGAACTTCATGCGTCCGAGCAGTTTTGACTAAACTCCTGCTTGATTGCATTTTCTATAACAAAATTCAGGAAAATTCTCAATTTGAAACAAATCCTACTTACTTTTCTGTCTCCTTTTGGAGGAAGAGAAGAGTATCTTGTTGATAATAGTGCCGATTCTAGAAAATCTTGTTAAAATAACCCTAAATAACTAATTATCTCCACAAACATAGAACCACAGAATGAACCTAGTCCTGAGAACTTCAAAAATGTTGATAGTTCTTCATAAAATTTCTGGTGGAGCTCTAAATAAAGGAAGAAGATTCCGATTCTTAGACTAGCTTTCCTTAAGGTTCTAAAGAAGTCTCTAAAACTAACATAAATTATAACAGTTTAGCTGGTATATTAGGACGTCTGTGAATATTCTGATCAAAAATTTGAAGAGTCTTCACTAAAATACCTAAATTTTGCCCATATTTCTCATTGATTATCCAAATCCTGGACAAATTTTATCCGAAATGGCTACAGGTAGTCTAAGCCAAAGCCCATGTTTAAAGATCAAACAAAACTCAAGCTCAAAGTATGGTGAAACCTGTAACCAAGACCATTGGCTCTAAGTTCACTTCCAGGAATTTTTTCGTAAAGTCTCATATTAATTTTCACAAAGCGTGCTCTTACCCTTAGTTTGGACTTTTCTCCTCCTATATCAAGAGTTAAGCATTGAAATTTGAAAAATCCGAATGTTAAAAACCTGCCCTCAAGAATGAACTATGTGAGCCTAGATTAAGGACCCTAACAAATATTTTGTATTTAGTAGCCCAGGTCTATCTTTCAGACATAATTTTTAATTCTTGATAATGACCCATTGCTTATGCACTGTTTTAAAGAGAAATTAAGTTTCTAAGCACCCGTGGAGCTTGAAAATAACTCTCATTTGATCAGGGTTTGTATGCACTTGACGAACGAAATTTCCATAAATTCGCTCAGTGTTGGGTATCAGAAAAAGAGCAATAAATTTTTCCATTCTGTCAAATATTTAAGCTCCGTCAGACCTTCTAATTAATTTCGAAAGAGATAAAATTTATTGGGATAGACAGAATTCAGAAGTTTTAAGTTGATAATCACTGTCCCTAATTACTCCATTTAACTTTGCCAACCAGAGACATAGAGAGCTTATTTACCAAATTTATTTCTGTTTGAGTAAATATTAACAGATCAAAGAATTCAGAAGATCAACTCTCATAAGAATTTGGACATCTTTATAGCCATAAGATCAATTAGTCTGCTTAAGATGAATACTTGTGAAGTTTCAAAAGCTCAAAGTAATGGATTGGAGCCTCTACAACAGGTATCGATCTTCTATGAGTCTTTAAAGCAACCCATAAGCTAACGAATGCGTCAATGGAAAAAGATATTTTAATTTTTAATTCATTGAAACAAAGTGAACTATTTCATCAAAAATGCTCTTCCTTGCTCAGAGTTAAGACTCAGAAGGCTTCTAAAATCTTATCAAATGCTTCTTCTCTGAAATTCTGTTAAAATGACTTCCAAAAAGTCCAAAATTACCTTTTTAAACACTTGGCTGCCTTCTCTGTATTATTGTATCAAGTTCTATAAATTAATTTAGTTGGTAAACCTATACCCCGTTTCACATAGAAATTGCATAATTGATGCTTAAAACAAGCGTTTCGAACGTATATACCCTTCCTAACACTCTATTAACAACTAGGGCAGGACTAGGTCAAGTTTTAGGTAATAAAACTAACAGTAAAATCCCAGGGCTATACTTACGATAAAATTGATATTTCTTGGTTATAATCGAACAACGCAGAGTTCATGCTGGATTAAATTAAATATATTAACAAGAATGCACCCTTTAAGCCAGAATGTTGGGGTTTTGGGGTTTTGGGGTTTTGGGGTTTTGGGG